GACACACGTTTGCCTCCCACCAGGGCATACTGTGTCTGGTTCAAATAGCCTTATCTCTCTCCTTGGTTTGTCCTGGAATTATACCTAATGCTCAGTCTTGGTAGCTTTTAGGATGAGAAGCCTGTTAGTTTAGCAACTCCAAGAACTCTTCTCAAAATTTAGTCTGACCTTCCAGCTACCTCCAACGTGCATAGTTTAACAGCTAAACTTAGTATACATGCTTTAAATCTGCATTGTAAACATTGACACTGATGTGCTGCTAGATCTGAAAAAGTTTCTTAGGGTCCTTCTTGACCTAAAATGAAAAAAATACAGGGTCTATGAAAATAAACATCCTAATCAGTCCCAAACGTGGGTGTCCAAAAGCATCCTTTTCTCTTTCGACGTGCCTGTGATGGGCGGAGGAAGCCCTCTCCAACGTCTCACGCTCTGATGAAGCTGTTACGGCCAGGAAGCCCCCTCACTTTCTAGGCATCCACGCCCAACTCTAAGAAACGGACGGGAAGGGCCAGGGAGCAGGTCCGGTCGGCCCTCTCGGTGTTTCGAGATCTCTGTGCTCCTGCCAGACCCTCCAGCCCGTGCGTTCTACTTAGATGTTTCATTACATAATCCCTGTTCCAGTCACCCACGGAGTCACGGGGGCCCAGGCTGTCCCACGCCTCACACGCTGCCCTGAGGAGGAGCGGCCGCCTGCCGACCCTGCGAGCAGCGCTGCCCCCTCTGCCCCGCGGAGCGACCCCGACCCGCGCTTCCGCGCCTCTCCCACGCAGGGCCCCGGCACGCTCAGGGCCCCTCCCGGCCCGCACTCCTCAGGCCGGCTGGCCCGGTCCCTCTCGGGGACCTATCCCCCCAACGATCTGCCCTCTCAGCCCCTCTCGGTGTCCCTTCGCCCTCAGACCCGCTTACCCCGACCCCATCAGCCTGCTGTCCCAGCCGCTCTCGGGGACGCCCCTCAAACTCGCTGTCCCACCCCTCTCGGGGACCCTCCCTCACACCTGTCCCAGCCCCTCTAGGGAACTCCCCTCAGACATGCTGTCCCGCTCTCTCTCTCGGGGTTCCTTCTCTTCAGATACGTTGTCCAGGGCCCTCTCGGGGTCCCCTCTCTTTAGACCCGCTGTCCTGGACCCTCTCGGGGTCCCCTCTTAGATTCCCTATTCTCTGCCCCCCTTAGGGTTTCCCCTCAGCCTCTCTGCCCCAGCTCTTCTGGGGGTCTGCTCTCCACAGTCCGGACTGTCAAACCCGCTCCCGGAACTCCCCTCACTCGGGTCCTCGCTGACCTCATTCCGCCCAGGGTCCCCTCGCTTAGGCTCACGCTGTCACAGCCCAGCACCCTGGTGCTCTCACCTCAGACCTGCTGTCACCACCCCGGCCCGGTGTCGCCTTCGCCGCTTCCTCTCCCACACTTGTTCCCGAGTCGCTCTTCTGCTGCTCGTCCCCTGGAAGATCCCTAAGTCCGGTTGCTGAGTGCCCGGGCCGGCCTTGCGGAGTCCCCGCCCGCGGTCTCTGTGTTGCGTCCCACTCTCTCACGCAGGACCCCGCCGCTGCCTCCGCCACCACCACCGAGAGCCACAGGGACCCTCCCGCTTGCTGCTGTCCGAGGTGCGGCTCTTGCCAGGGGTGGCCAATCGCACCCGACTGCGCCGAGCGTGCTCCGCCCCACGGTCTCAGTACGCCCGCCCCCCGCCCTCGACCACGCCCCCAGCTCGACTCTGATAGGCTCTCTACTGACCTTCCTTGATCGCGGGGCACAAGCCCGTGCCCGGATATAGGTACTTGATTGAAGGTGCCTGAGAAGCCGAGCTGTCGATGGTGCCTGAGGATTGGCGGAATTGATGGTGGGCGGGGTGGACCGGGGCGGGGTTTCTTCGGACACGGAAGATCCTGCAACTTCAGTTACCCACGGGCCGTCCTGGGGTGCGGTCCTTCTTGTTTGTGCTGTGCTCTGGTCAAAGTTCGTGGCACTCCTCCCCGCTCCTTTACTTTTCTTGGGAAACTCCCAGAGGCCAAGGCCCTCTGGGACTCCCCCGGACCACCCATGTTAGCGCCTTTGAGGAGGACCCCATTCTTCCGCCAGACCTTACACAGCTTTCTAAGTAATTCTGCCAGAAATTAATATAGCATTTATTCACTCAGGACTTGTAAATATTTCCTGAATTTAAATGCTCTTTTTGTAGCTTTGTCAAGGAAGTTGCCCTACGTTGTATTGCGTTCAAAAGATGTCAGTTTAATAATGCTCTTGGAAGAAATCTATATACTAGATGCATGTTCTGCACAACTAAATATTCAACACTGATGGGCACTTTTTGATAGGTACAAGGACAGAGCTTTAGAAATAATCAGTTTGTGGGTTTTGATAATTATTACAGGCGGAACAGGAACTGTGTAGTATAGGGGGGTGTGGACGGGGAAACCTTGTTAGCTTTAGCAATGTTTCAGCAAGACTGTTCAATATATTCTTTTTCAGGGCCACATGTTTTAATGGTTCTGTGTTAACTAATGGCCAGAGTGTAATAAACTTTGACCCAAGTGCAACCTGTGATAACCAGAGACACATCTTGACTCAAGGTGAAAGATGGTGCTTGCCAGAGGTGAAAGTGCATCATGTTACGCAGAGCCACTCTATTTTTGTGAAATTAGATTTGTTGACTAAACAATACAGGAAACTGAAAACCGCTACTCTCATTCCTAAACCCCAAAGTTTATGGACTTTGATCAATTGTTTATGAAGAAATTGTTTCATTTTCACAAACACAATTTGACCGTAAGACTTGTCAGATTTGTTTACAGGACGGCACTCTCAAAAAACCCTCCATCCGTTAACTATGTCTGTGTTCACTCCCACTGACAAAATTTGTCTTCTAAACACTATATTTTCCCTAGTGTTTTAAAATCCTGCCCCATTCCAGATAGGGTGCTCCCCTGTGAAGTTTGAGTGTTGGGGGGGGGGGCGGTGCAGAGAGGGCCAGTACCAAAGGGGCTGGCAGGACTTTAAGGCTATTTCTGAAGTAGATGTCTCCTGAGCAGTGTGACTGCCTGCCATTTGGGGAAGGGATGCAGAGACATTTCAAGCTGGTAAAAACTTAATTTTGAAGGAACTTGATTTTTATAGACCTAGAAAAACTGTCCAAAACCACCATATTAGGATAGCTAGATCCTCCTTCCCTAAAGAATATTTATTAATTAAGAGCTCATCCTACCAATTCTGAAGTTGGGAATATGGACTGGAAAAAATGGGGTAAGTTTTTACCACTCAAATGTTCAGCTGTGTCTATTCATATAAAAAGAGAAATGCATGACCATTGACAGATGTTATCTGCAATCAAGAAAACAGAAATAAAACATAAGCAAGATAAAAAAAAATCAAGTGTCTTGAAAGGAAACCAATTGGCAATGAAATCAACTCTTTTTTCTTTTTGATTCATTATATCAATGAACTGTAATTTCTAAAATGTTGGTGCTTTTTCTGGTTTATGATTACTGCTGATAGGAACTCAAGTTGCTCAATACAGTTGATTACAAATAATTAAATGTGATCTAACAGCGTTAAAAAAGAAAATGATGTCATCCTGTGGACAAGAAACAGTTTTGAAATCTTAGTTTATATATAGACGGTGGACCTACAGTGAGCCCTGAGGATGGCTTATTTAGAAGGGGCTTAAGAAGATCCCTGAACTGCTGGAATGACACCGCAGCATTCCTTTATATTCTTGCGTTTTGTTGGGAGGAAGAATCTCTCACAAATATAGCCAAGATTTTAATGAAGACAATGTACAAAATAAAAAATACTAAAATAAGTGAGATGAGATTAAGTTTCTGCACTTTGAGAACACTCTATGGGGGCCAGTTCAGAGATAAATTCAGTCATAGAGGACCTGAGAATCATACTACTGGATTCCACACTGTCTTTTTACATTGTGTTCAACTTCACTACTTGTAAGTTACTTTTTTTTTTTTCTGGAGACTTGGTACAAGGTAGACAGGAGAGTTATTTTGGAGAAACCATTATACAGCTCTGGGTCTTTTTCCTTATGCCTTTTCTTGCTACACTGAGAGAATCTACAATGAGAGAAGAGACACCCTAAATTTGTTCATTAACCAAAGCTTGTGTGTCCCTTTCTGCTCAAGGGGAATCACACAAATCAATTCATGCAGATTCCCCTCTTGTTTTTTTTTCCACATAGCACCTTCCTTAAGTTAGCCTAATTAACTTCTGTAGGCAAATGTGCCAGTTAGGAGCTGCTTAGCAAGTTCTTAGATTGGGGGGAACCACCTTTTTAAAAAAACTAATATTCTAAGAAATATGAGGAAGCTGTACTGTAGAGGGCCTGGCTCTGAGAGTCTAAACAAGGCTGATTGGATGCTATCATTTTTTTAAGGCAAGTGACAGCTCTTTCTCATCTGTAAAATCGGGATAACATCTTATTGAGTAAACCTATACAAACAGGAAGGACTCACAGAGAGTGGGAAAATATTGTCTTGCTGACTCCAGGATGGAAAATCAGCATTCTTGTCTTTAGTTTTCAATAAAGCTAAAACTACATTAGACGAGGAGCCAGGCTTCTTTTCTTCGGGATGATCACGCAAACTCTATATGCCTAGGTTTAATGTCGTCACCTGTTTAAAGCGACCACCTCCACCTGCCCAAAGCCTTTCGAACCCCCTCTGCCCCTCAAGTCTCTAATGGAGCTCGCTTCGGCTATCGCCCCAGGCGCCGCCTGGCGGATATTTCCGGAAGTCACCTCGGAGCTTCGGGGTCCTGGCCGGGGCCAGGCCTGCCTATGGAGTTGCCTAACTCTAGAGACCCTGTCTCCTTCCGTACGCACTATCAGTTGAGGATTTTAAGGCGGCGATCAAACATCTGGGGTTAAAGCGAAGGAGGCGTCCGGCGGCCTCTCTACTCCCTGAAAGATAGCGGAGACAGGCGGCCCTAGGACAGCTCACGACCCGGAAGTTGCCACCGGCGCAAAGCCCCCGTTGCCGAGCGCGGGCGAAAGGGGCGGAGCTTATCGAGACTGGCAGGAGGTCGCCGCGGCGCCCGCTTTTCAAGTTGGCGGCTCCCTCGGGTGTATCTTCGCGGGCGTCGAGTCCGCAGGGCACTTAGCCACGGTCCTCGGGTGGCGCTCTCAGCTGCCGTCACAGGCGACATGAGTGCCGCGGGGCTGTTGGCTCCGGCTCCGGCCCCGGCTGGAGCGCCGCCGGCTCCGGAGTATTACCCCGAAGAAGACGAAGAGCTGGAGAGCGCAGAGGACGACGAGCGCAGCTGCCGGGGCCGCGAGTCGGATGAAGGCGCGTCCTTTAGCTCGCTGGGCAGCCCGGGGCAGGGGTGGGACCCTTGCAGGAAGAGACGGGGCTGTTGGGAGAGGGGCGGCCCGACCTCCAAGGTTTGGAGCAGGCTGGAGGGGCAGCTGGAGGGAGCGCGGCTCCGGGAAGTTAACCCCACCTGTTCAGGAGAAGGGGAAGCTCTGGGTACGTTGTACCCTGCAGTGGCAGGAAGGGACTTAGGGAGCTGTTGTCATAGATGGAGGAGGTCCCTTTAAGTTTTCTGCTTCTCACTTCCCAACCGTCTCTGGTTGAACCTCAGGTCTTCAGTGTTTGGAATGAGAAAGCCTTCCATTGGGTGCCCCTCCCCTTTTAGTTCCCGAGAGGATTAAAGCAAAGCCTTTTGGCTTCTTGGTTCCCAGGTTGCTCCCGCGCTCCCACCCTTTATCCCGGGGCTATGCTTCGGTCACAGTTAACTTTGGGCAGTGCAGTAGAGGTCGGTTAAAGGAATGGGACCTGGAATCAGATGTAGGTCTAAATATGGCTCACTTAACCCAGCTTTTGACCCTGCCCAACCTAAGTTTAGGAGCCTCCGTTTTTCCAGCAAATGGGGCTTCCTAGTGTAGGTATTAAGACTGAATGAGATATGTACATAAAGTATTGTACTGGTACTTTAAAGCTTGGTACTCAGGAAATACCCAGGACTTTTTTTTTTAACCTTTGGGGAAACACACGGGGAAAGGTAGGGATTTGGGTTTGTTTAGTAATGCCCAGGCGTAGTGTTTTTAAGTTCCCTTCTCTCTGTATTATCATTACTGCCTCTCAGAGTCTTGCTTTTCGACTTGGGTTTTATGCTTTGGCAAGTGTGAGGAACACTATTTCGAAGGGGTGGGAGGAGCTGGCTGGAGGAGGAGAAAGGTGAAGAAGCGAAAGACAAAGAAGAAGAGAGGCGGTAGAGATCAGTATGTGGGTAGAATATTCTGGCACAAAATAGGACTGTGGAGTAAAAGGCTAGACCAGCTGTCTGAAATGAGGATTATGTTTTATTCATCTCAGTTCCCTAAGTGCCAAGTGCTATGGCTGGCACATGACAGGAATTCAGGGCAGAAGGGTTTGTGGAGAATTGGACCTGTGACAGCCTTTAAAAAGGCAGCAGCATATGCGGATATTAAGTAGAAGCAACTAATTGATTTGGTTAAACCATATTTGAAGACAAGGCTTAACTAGAGGTTTTGAATGTCCATCACTTGTTACTTGTACTGCTTTCAATGCCCACAAGGGGGAGCGGTGGAGCCAAAATTGAATTTTCTCCCGTTAAGCAGGGTTGTTGAAATATGTAGGCATTCCAGCGGTTTGCTTATTCTAAGAACAATGTTAAAAATGTTGTGAAAGTTTCCGTGTGATCGTCTTGTCCCTTTTATCTGTTACTTTGAAAATCTTTCAGTTACTAGAATTCAGCTCATTGACTTGAATTCTTTGTATGTATGTGACGTAAAATTTGTTAGGGTTCAAACAGGACATATTCCAAAAGAGAAGGTAGATATCAGATTGTCTCAGAGTAGTGATCAGGGCTTGCCTGCGTGTAGTTTTCCAGTCTTACACACAATCTCCTGAACTGCCACGGCTCTTCAGAAGAAGCAGCCTTGACCGTGACTGCTTGTGTCTGATGCTCTCTACTCTGTAGCTGCACTTCAGATCAAGTCAGGCTTTTTGAGTAAATCTTACTGTTTAGAAGCTGGAAATAGCATTTTCTTTCCTAAATAACGGTAATATTTTTCATTGATGGCTTCACTCGAGCATGCATTGACTAGAATTGACTTAAAAAAAATTATTAAATGTGTCAGGTGATAGCAATTTTAACAGGCCCTTCTTCTCTGATTTTACTTAGACACTGAGGATGCTAGCGAAACTGACCTGGCAAAGCATGATGAAGAAGATTACGTAGAAATGAAGGAACAGTGAGTACGAGTTTTAGGGTTTTTTTTTTTTTTTTGGAATATACAATTGACAAGAAAACCTCTATAATGACCTTGTGTGTATGACTTGACTGTCGTGCCTTCAGAGACCATCTATATGTATACAATTTCCTACCTTTAAATTTGTCACATTTAATCAGTCTTCCTGTTACAATAATCTTTTTGAGGCTAGGCTAGGAAGAACCTGAGGGAAGGATCCAAGGGGCATAAGGCCATATAACAGGAGAGAACCATCTTCCCCCCTTCTTAGCTAATAAATTATATTTTATTAATTTTGTTTGTTTAACAACACATGGTAAATAGGATCATACAGTTTCAGAAGGTTGAGGGTTTGTAGCCCAGTGCGGAACCTTAGCGTTTTTCATGTACATTATCAGGTTGGCCTCCTGTTTACAAAAGAAAATGCCTTGGTCAGTATTCATTACTGCTTTCTTCAGTAACAAATCTGTCCACTGCAGGCAATAACAGCATCAAATCCTTATGAGCTTCCTTCTCTAGTGTCTTACTTGTGTATACTATTATTTTCTTTGTTATAATGGGTTCTCACCTGGAGCCTAATCTTACGTAAGAGACCATGATGTCTAACGTTAACAGTTGTAGGTAAAAATTCATTGGAGGGTTCAGCTGCCCACTGCAGTGATAACAGCATCAGATCTTTGTGAACTTCCTTCCCCAGTGTCTACTCATATAGGCTTTCCTCCCTCCCTCCCTCTCAAGATTTTATTTATTTTTAGAGGGGAAGGGAGGGAGAAACAGGGAAACATCAATGTGTGGCTGCCTCTTGTGCGCCCCCTGCTGGGGAACTGGCCTGCAACGCGGGCATGTGCCCTAGACTGGGGATTGAACTGGCAGCTCTTTGGTTTGCAGGCTGGTGCTCACATCCACTGAACTACACCAGCCAGGGCAACAGGTTAAAATGTATGTGTGGGTTGCTTCTTTATACAGAAGAATGAAAAATATCTTGACTGATTAAATACCTAAAATGGCTATTTTTTAAGTTTGTTTTTTCTTTTATCGAATATATTGAGGTGACATTGGTTAGTAAAATTATGTAGGTTTCAGGTGTACACTCACTTTTTCCCTCTTTTTTGATGTGAAAACCATCAGAGAGGGTAAATTATGTTTCACAGGTGCGTGACTCACAGTTAGGTGTGACCCCCTCCCCCCCCAACCCCCCGCAAGCATTAATTATATCCTAAATGACATGCTAGATTCCAGAGAGCTCAGGGAGACCAGGATTGAAGAGCGGGACTCCTGCTTCGGTGTCCTTTCCCCTCTTCGCACGTTCTCACCCAAGCCTTCTCGCTGTCTTCAACAGAGCCACGGCTAAGTATACCCGGAGAAACTGAAGCCGCTCGCTCTTACTGTAAACACAGATGCAAGACAGTATTAAAAAAATACTGATACGTATTTGTTGAGTGTATTTTGAGGCTCTTGATTTGACTTACCTATAAACTACATGGTCTACATTCCTTTCTTTATAGGCCTTTTTTTTAAAAGATTTTATTTATTTACTTTTAGAGAGGGGGAAGGAAGGGAGAAAGAGAGGGAGAGAAACATCAATGTGCAAGAGATGTTTTGATCCATCGCCTCTCGCACGCCCCCCCAACTGGGGACCTGGCCCGCAGCCCAGGTTTGTGCCCTGACTGGGAATTGAACTGGTAACCTTTTGGTTTTCGGGCTGATGCTCAATCCACTGAGTCACACCAGCCAGGGCTGTAGGTCTTACTTGCAAATGTTTTGTGACCATCCTTTGGGTTCTGTTATCCTTTTCAACCTTTGGTACCCAAAGCAGTAATTCAGCTAAAAGCTGAGTAGTGCTAAATAAAGGAGAATTACTTCATAAAATTTTTCTCATAGCTTCATCCCTGAAATTGTGTTTGCTTTTTTAAAAAAAATTTATTTTTATTCTCTTTAGGAATTTTGCCAGTTTCCCTTGACCCATTTGAAATGTATTCTAATGTACCTATCCTTTTCCCAAATCTGAATTTTTTGTTGTTATTTATTTCTTCAATGTGTTAATATTCCCTTTCAAAGATAGACTCAGAATTCAAAGACATTGTCTGGTACACTCAACATGGTGGAAAATTTAGTACACTAGTTTACATACCTGTACACAAGGTTCCGTCCTGTACTTGATAGCTTTAAACATTCTTTAGAGACAATCTGTTAATTGAACGTGCCCCTTAATATTTGATGATATAGAAAATAATTTTGGTTAAAATTGAATGCCTTCCTTTGAAACCTATATAACTTTATTAACCAATGTCACCCCAATAAATTCGATTAAAAGTAAATAAACAAATTGCAAGTAAAAACAAAATGGAATGCCTGTGTAATTCAAGGTGAGCACTGAGAGTACATCAGAATTTTCCTAAAAGAATCAGACATCCTGAGTAATTCTCATATTCTGCCTACTTCTTCCTCAGTTGTTGAGGTGTATTTGCAGGCTTTAGTTAACCAATCAAAAGGCTGTTGTGCCTGTTACCTATTGGATAGTGGGTTTCCCCCCCCCCTCAGTTTGCAAACCTTGTTTTGAAATTGGTGTTTTTCAGGTACAAACAAAAATATTGCTGAAATGTGATTTACATGTGGAATTTACTATTCATACAGATTTTCCAGAGTGTATAATTGCATGTAAATTCATTCAATATGAGGGGGGAAGGAAGAACTTGCGGGTTCTTTTGCTTTGTGTGTGCTATGTGCTCTCATCCATCTGGGGTTGCAAAAATTGTGCATTTTAACTTTTGTTGCCGAATTACTGTTACTTCTCTGATCCTAAAAAAGGTGCTTTTAAAAATGACATGAAGGTTTATTAACTTAGTGCTTACACAGCTATGCTATCTATATAGGAAAAAAAAAGTGGTTAAGGCATAGTCTTACTCCTTTGGAACTTCTAATCTAATTGTAGAGTTGATGTAAGAGCTGTGTCTAATGCCTTTCTTCTGTGTGTGTGTTACGCTCGTAAATCTAGAAGAAAATGGCCTCACACTCAATTTGTTGTATATTCTTGCCTGTTTGCCATTGTCACTTATTAAAATCTGCGTGTCCTCATATTTGTAGATTTTAGACAGATTTCTAAAGGTGGGATAACAGGAGGATCTACAAAATTAGGACAGGATCAAGGACACAGAATCTGTGCCCCTTTCTGATCCCTTTAGCTGCTGCTGCATTTTAAACCAGCAGCAAACTTTAGTTTTCTGTCTCTCCTAAAGGACTCTGATGACACTCCTGTAACAACCTAGGTAATTTCTGTGCGTAGATTATTTTGGAATTGAGTATTGAATGTTTTTGTCTTTCACTATGGCTTTCCTTTCTTTACAGGATGTATCAGGATAAACTGGCTTCTCTCAAGAGACAGTTGCAACAGCTGCAGGAAGGTTGGTGTGTGATTTAATCCTTCATTTCTAATTATACTTCTTAATATTACAAACCTTTGTGGTCTGTGTATTTTGCTTCTCTGTTGGAGTGATTTAAAATTTGGTAAGGCTTACTTTAGCTGTCTTGGTATACATTTTTCTATCTTCTGTCAGTAAAGTGTAATTTTCAAACTTGAGGAATTCTACTCAGGGCCTTGTGTAGAGCATGAACTGAAGACAGTGCCTACTGCTAGGCACTTTTTAGGAGAGAAGTTTCCAGAACAATAAATAAGATTATACTGTTTTTTCTAAACTAAATGGTAATGAACTCTGACTTATCCTCCTGTTTTTTCTCTTTTTAGAGTGGTAAAATTAAAAATGACCTGCTAGCTTACTTGGTTGGGAAGTCATCCCAATACACCAGGATTATTAGTTTGGTCCCCAGTTAGGGTACATACAAGAGAAAACCAACCAATGAATGTATAAATAAGTGGAATAACAAATCAATATTTCACTCTCTCTCAAATCAATAAATAAAAATTATTTTTCAAAAAGTTGTTGAATACTCTTCTCTGCAGTCTTCTTAAGGGGTTGAATCCCAGCTTCACTGCTTTCTAGAGATTTGACTTTAGGCACATCACTTTCTCTTACTTAATTTCTGATCTGCAAAAATGAAGAAAAAGAAAGTACATATAATTATGTACAAAAAGTGACTGGCACTCTCGGGTGCACTGTGAGAACTCAGGGACAGTCAGCTGTGCTGTGAGCTCTTACACTTCATTTGGTGGTGTCCCCTCCTGAGTGAAATGCTTCTCTGCCAGGTGCTTTATTGCTTGGACTAGTCCATCCTGTACTGATTTCTGCTTAATAGTGAAACATGTTCCTATGAGTTGCAATTACACATTTTTATTTTACTTTTTTTCATGATAATGGAAGTATTGCCAAAGAAATACATTCCACTCTGGCAAGTCTGTAAGGCACAGTTGAGTGAAGGATTTTGAAAAAGATGCCTTTAATATAGGGTGGGGCAAAAGTAGGTTTACGGCTCTTATGGAAAATAATACGATAGTAAATAATAATACAAGAATAAACTGTGTTTTCTGTATTCACAGCTGTATATTTTATTAAAGCCTTATGATTAGGAAATACTTCCCACACTAACTGGGACCCTCATAATGAGCAGCTTTTGGGAAGGGCAATGAAATGACTAAAGATTCGGTAAGAATCTAAACCTGAGCTGTCCAGTGTTATTATTAGCCACATGTGGCTGTTTATATTTAATTAAATTAATAATTCAGTTCCTCAGTTGCATTAGCCACACTTCGTGTGCTTAGTAACCACGTGTGACCAGTTGCAACCATATTGGACAGTACAACATAGAACATTTCCATCATTGCAGAGAAAATTCTACTGAACAGCATTGATCTAGACCTTACCTCACTGAACGAGAATGACATTTTTCCAGGAAAGGAAAGCCTGTTGAACTGTAGCAGCAAGTGGTCAGAATCTCCTGAGATTTTTGCACCTTTCTGTAACTTCTCACCTGCCAGGGTGTCTTAATCCACTGGGTTGGGGTGATTTCGGCTGTGTGTGGGCTGAGAGCCAGTGTCCAGTGTGTTCTGCACATGCCTTTCCTTAGTTTGCGTTTCATTCCGATGTTACTAAGACAGTCACTGTTGGTGCTAGAAAATAATTTTAGGAACCAGAATGGAGAGCACATCTCCAAAGTAAATTTTTATCTTCTAAATCTCAATCAGGTACATTACAGGAATATCAGAAGAGGATGAAAAAACTAGATCAGCAGTACAAAGAGAGGATACGAAATGCAGGTAAGATGCTATCTTAAATGGAAACAAATCATCTTCAAATTTTCCTCATTTTGATGATCATCAGTGTAATGTGGCCATAAGAGCTGTTCTCCAAAGAGGGGGAAAATGTGTCTTAAATATCCCTTTGTGGGAAGAGTTTTATGGAAGACAGACTTCAAAGGTGGAGTCATGTTTAGCTGGTTCATCTTTTTTCCAGTGACCAATCAAGGTCCATAGTTGAGGTTGTTAGAGGTCTCTCTCCTGCGCCTCCCTTCCCTACCCCGCCAGCTACAGCCTGTGCCTAAAGAACTGCACGTTCTTTCTTGGGTCAGCATGGCTGGTGTGATGGACTGTCAGAGGAGCTGACATGAAAAAGGATTGTAGGTTGTTTTGCTGCTCTTTTGAGTTTGCTGCCTTTGATGTTCTGTGCTCTAGGAGGGAAGAGTGACCTCTTGTTTTTTTCCCCCTCAAGTATTATAAGCATTTGGAGAAAAATACGCATTTTGTCTGTTGTACACAGTAAATGTATTCATTCAACAAAAATTTCTTGAGCATCTGCTATATTGAAGCTCTGTGAGCGATATAAAGGAGCGTTAAGACATTGCCCTTGACTTATGGAAATTGCTGTTTCGCTGACAAAAGGTACCTAAAGGTGTAAGCGAAGGAATGTTATAAGCCAATAGAGAGTCATGCACAAAGTGAGATGTGATGACTGTTTTAAAGTGTGTAAACACAAATTCCTATGTTTACAGGAAATCTTTTGTAAGTGTTAAATTTTGAAGCTCCCCGTCAGCCAGCGTTTTGATTGCTGGCATGGAGTTTGCTCCTGCAGTGCTGAAAGTGATGCTGGGTTTTAGAATGAGGGCTGGCTGCCCCTCCTCGGGCTGCTGTCCTCTTACTTTCCCATCCCGTGATTTTCCAGCTTTCTGTTGATGGAACCATTCCTTCTCTCCCTCAGTGAGTAGATGTTCCGTGGACACCAACAGATAGGAGAGGAGCCGAAGGGAGTGAGGGGTGCCGGAATGATGGAGATCTAGCTGTTAGCCTTCCGCCCACCTACGTCCCTCCTGCCCCTATGATTCTGCACTCCCCCGCCCCCTGCCCCACTCTGAGTTCCTGAGGCATTTCTTTGGAACATCTTTAACCTCCACAGTTCTTTTCCTGGAGTTCCCTGTTGGCAGGGAAAGGAGGTGGTGCCCTGGAGAGAGATGTCCTAGGTCTGGGTTTTCCATTGCTTTAGGTCTTCTGCCTTTAAGCAGATGTTTACTCTTGGAGCCTCAGTTTCCCCATCATAGAGGGGAGCTTACCTCATGGAATTGGTTTAAGATATACGTAAGGAAAAAAAATTGATGTGAACCATTTTTCTTAAGTTAGAACTGCAGGGTGAGTATTGAGTTGTTTTTCTTGTCCTTGCGTGATCTTTCCTAACATCCCCCCACCCCTTATAAAAATGTAGAATAGCTCCTAAATTAGGCATGCCTTAGTTTTAAAAAGCACATTCCATGCAAAGATAATTCATGTGCTTTAGTTGTGTCTGTTTGGCTGCTTTAACTAAAACCACCACCACCAACTCTTAAGTGCTAATTGTCACCTTGACGCGTTGGTGCAGGAGTGATTTCTCAGAATGGCACAGACTTCAGCTGTTTGGCTTGTTCATGAGTGGTCCAAGTATGAAGTAATCATAGGAGTGAGCATGTTGGACTGGGTGTGCCTGTGCTCGTGTGCCCAGAGATTTTTAGTGATCAGGGCTTTCAGAGGGGTTAGAAACTAGTAAGTGCTTTGTCCCTTTGCTCAGTTAATTTTCTTATTCAGTAACTGTTACTTGACATCTGAATTCTTAATCTGAAGTCTCTGAAACTCAGAGAATCTTATAATGTGTGTGAATGTGCGTATGTGACTTTTTTTTTTTTTTTAAGATTTTATTCATTTATTTTTAGGGAGAGGGGAAGGAAAGAAGAAAGACAGGGAGAGAAACATCAATGTGTGGTTGCCTCTTGCATGCCCCTAACTGGGGATCTGGCCTGCAATCTAGGCATGTTCCTTGACTGGAAATCGAGCCTGCGACCCTTTGTTTTGCAGGATGGTACTCAATCCTTTGAACCACACCAGCCATGCATATGTGATGTTTAATGGGGTAATGGATCGGTAGGATTTGTCAGATTTGCAAAGGAGACCATGGTGAAATGTGAACAGTACCCTCTGGAGTTGCTGGTCTGCCAATAGTCTTTGTGGACCTTATGTAGCAAGCAGTTCGCTTGTCAGCCAGGAAAGATTAGAAGCTAGGGATCTATTTTGTTCCAAGTCCTAGATTTGCAGAGGGCCTTCTAATCCAGTGGGGGAAGCTGCTGGATTAACAGTTACTAATTGCCTGGCACACAGTGGGTGCTAAATAAGCTGTTGAATACTGTGGGGTAGATACTTTCAGGTGCCTGAGAGGGGGTAGGTGGGTGAAGGGTCCTCAGGAAAGGCCTGGTGGAGGAGGCTGCATTAGACCTGAAGTTGCTGGTAGAGGCACGGCCATGAACACAGGCTTGGCAGCCTGAGAGGAAAGCCCAGAAGGGCTCAGAACCTGTGCTCTCTGAAATCTCGGGGACTGTCCTTCCTTTTACCACATAGAGCCCTTCACACAGTGCTTTAAAGACACCAGTGTTGACTGCTTCTGGAGTAAGTGCATTGCCTCTTCCTGACCCATCCTGCCCTGCAGGACAGTTTGCGGGGGGTAGGGGAGGGGTGGTATGTACTGAGTGGAAGAAGGGATAACTTCATTTTTATTTTGTCAAGGTACTTTGGTTCCTGCTGCTTGTTTTTGCCCTTGGGCAGATCTGCCAGAGCTGATGCTGTTCAGGGCCAACTTTTAAGTAGACACAAGTGCTTCTTGCTTCCTTCCCCTTCATGTATATCAGCACTTTACTGATGAAAACATTTGCTCTGGGTAATCGTGCCTTCAGAAAGCAATTACTGCTTCTAAATGAATCCTAACATACTGTCTAAAAAGGTGACAGCCTAGCGAATCTAATTGCACGTTTTATCTCTTTCAGAACTCTTCCTCCAGCTGGAAGTAAGTACCATGGATCTTCTGGGTTTGCAGGCTCTTTCTCAGTCTGGAATCTTGTTCTCCCAATCGGTGGCCTTGCCTTCTATCACCAAATAGGTAGTTGGGAAGCCTCCAGCTGGAAGCCTTTGTCACTGCTTTCTTTGACAAAAGGACACTTGGTCTCAATTCAGAAATCCCATCTACTCATTTGATTGTTGGGCAGCCTCTGCTTGTCACGGGACTAGGGGACACTCACCTCTCACAGCTTTCTTGTTGACTTTCATCTCACAGTAAAGCCCTTTGGGAGTATGTCTGAACTAAAGGGCCTAATAATTTGTTATATTGGTCCTTGAAGGAGCCTGGTTTCTGAATTGGCTCAGTAGATCAGTTTTACAGCTGAGACTCTTTGGATTAGCAGGAAAGAGGGATTAAAAATTTCCTTTTATGCAGCAGACATCTAGTGCTGGTTCTGTGTGAGGCACAGTGCTTTGGTACAGAGATGAGGGTCTGAATTTTAAATGATGTACTGCTTGTGGGGTGGCTTGTGTGTGTTGGAGGAGGGGCGTAAGTTTATCAGAGCCACATATGAGTGTGAGAAGGTCATGATTTATCAGAGCCACATTATCGGGAACCATTTTTGTATCCAAGTCAGTGCATCCCATGTAGTCACAGCCTGAAGGATCTCATGATCCATAGCCAGTGCCCGCCATAAGCCCCCTGGTGAGATTTAGACAATGTATGTTTATGCAGTCTTTATTTAGGATAATTTCAGTGTTTGAGTGCTTTGGGTTTAGACACCTAATAAATGATCTACTTTAGTTGGTCCTTATCTTGCTGAGCCATCCTGACTCAGTTAATTTTGAATATAGATATTTCATCTGGAATGTGCTATTTTCCTCCAATATTGTGTCCTTAAAGGGACACACAGGCCATAAAAATATAAGATGTGGAACAGAGGAAATACCTGAATAGCAAGCAAGGTATACTTATAAAAACAAGCAGAAATGGTGTGGTTTGAGTTTACGCATCCATTGGAAAACTGGCTTTCAGAGACCGTGCAGCTGCAGCTGTGCGTGTGAGGGCAGCTGTTTCTCCTAGTTCTAGTTAAGGTATTTTCTTTGCTCTTGGGTGCGGGGTCAAACTTCAAGGTGGAGCCCTGGCTGCCAGGTCCATGTACCCCTGTTCTGTGTTTCTCTTCTGCTTAGACTGAACAAGTGGAAAGAAATTACATTAAAGAAAAGAAGGCAGCAGTAAAAGAATTTGAAGACAAGAAAGTTGAGCTGAAAGAGAACCTGATTGCCGAGCTAGAAGAGAAGAAGAAAATGATTGAAAATGAAAAGCTAACGATGGAACTGACTGGAGGTACGAAAGCACCAGCAGGGTCCTGGGAGCCCCGAGACGGCATCTCGGTTGGGGGTGTCTGTGTTCCCAGGTAACTCCTGCTGTTTGTCCCAGCTCCTCATCAGAGCAGAGCAAGCTACAAGGGGAGTGGGCTTTGACATGACAGGTCAGATTTCTCATTTTGTCTCGTATTGGCTGTGTGACTCTAGTCATGCCACTGAACATCTCTGAGCCTGTTTCCCCCTCTATAAAATGGACCAATCACACCCTATCTTACATGGTTCTGGTTAGAAACATGAGTGCCTAGTACAGTGCCCTAAACATAACAGGTGTTCAGTGAATTGGTAGACCTTTAATAGTAACCGCAGCCTCTGGCTTATGCTTTATTTAATTTAATTCTTGGGTCAGCTGCCATTTGTGTCTTGTTTATATTCACAGATTACTTGCCTGAGTCCCTCTGCTGCCTCCCCCTGCCCCCCCCCCCCCCCCCCAGTCTGCCTTAATTACAGAAAAGACCTTGTCATTGTTTGACCTAGATGTAAGAACAAAGGCTTTTGGCTGTATCATCTATGCTGTTAGAGCCCTTCTCCCAGGCCTTACTGTGGACATTTCAGAAAGAGTTGATAGGATTTCAGCAAGGGTAGCTAAATTGAACTTCTTTCCTGAAAAGGTAGTAAAGTTACATTGACTCAGAGCCAGCCCCTCCCTTGCCTTCTAGGATTTAGTCATCTGCATAAGGAAACTCAGCAGGTTTAAGGGAGAAGCAATGTGGGCCGTCTCTTCTGTTGCCATATGTAGACTGATGAATCCTAGAAGGATTCAGGGTGGGAATTGGCTTGAATTAGCTATTTTGGAACTTTGCAAAATTTCCATCAGCAGATAGCCCAAGGAAAGTCAGGGGTGAGTGGGGTACTTGGATATGTAAGTGCCATGCCTCTGCACACCTCACAATTTTACTTTTATAATATTCTGAAGGTACTGGAGCTCTGGCATGTCTGAATTTAGTAGGGATCCATAGCAAATGCATTGTGTTTATGTAAGTCCTTGGGGTTAACTTTGAAACTAAATAACTGTTAAGGGCTGTGTTTCCCCATCTGTATTTATGGTGCTGTGAACCAGCGACACAGATTGGCCTCCCAATTGACATAAACTTCTAGTTCTAATCTCCATGATATACCAGTGAGAATGTGCTTATGTCCAAAGTGGCAGCCTCACTTTTGAAAAATGTCTCCTGTGATAGCTTCCCCATTGGGAGATGCAGCAAAAGGAGTGAATTGAAGACCTCTGAAGGTAGCTCAGAAATGTTTTTCGGATTAGAATGGGTGCTGAGACAGCATCTTCAGAGAGTACCATCTTGTTCCTGTCGCATTGCTTTTTTTAATTAGACTGTGAGCACTGCAGTACCTAGTTTGGTACCAGCCTACCTTCCTGTTTTCTGACCCGCACACCATTTTCTCTGATGTTGGCTGTGGCTGGCATTGACGCCTCATCACTCTCTGCTAGAGCCACCAGATGTTTGGGAGCCTTTATTAGGCTAGTGGGAAATAGTGTTCATTTATAGCTGCTCCTTTTCCATCTGCAGGGAAGGATATCATTACTTTACCTGAGATTTGGCATCCTAACTATTGACAAGCAATAGACATTGTTTGGCCAGGCAGTTATACAGCTAGAATCTTAACTGGGATGGGAGGCATCCTCAGTGACGTGAGCTCGAGACTACCGAAGTAGAAAAGACAGGCGCGGGGAAATCATTTGTAATGCAGTAAAGTAGATGACAGAAGTGCTCAAACCTAGCCATGGGCATCAGAGGTACTGATGTCCTTCCTCAAGCCATTTGGTACCCTTGGTTTGGAGAGCACTGCCAAGGTAATGATAGAGTGTCGGCAGAAAAGGCACTGGAGCTAGAAGGATAATTAGCATTTCTACAGATGGTGCTGCTATGGTTTTGGATTAAAAGCCTGATTTTATTCCTCTCATTGAGCGACTTATTTCACCTTTGTGGACTGATGCCCAGCGTCAGTGTTGCCCAGCTCTGCCCAGAAGAGAGATTTCTTAAAATCTCCTTTTCTGGTTCAACATGAAGTTCTCCTGCAAAACAAAATGATAAATAGACTCATGAGAAGCCTAGTCCAAATAACCCATTGGAAATGGGTAGATCTGGTGACCTGCTTTGTCTAAACAGGACTTAAAGCATTTATAGACCTCCATGGGAGTTAGGAAGGTTCTTTTCACTGCCCAAACTTCTGTGGAAAGCTTCCGATGACAGCGGGGTGTTGTCGGTGGAAAGGTGTATCATCGGTAAAGAACCTAGGATAGTAAGTTCTAGGTCATTGCTCCCCCAGCTTGAATGCGTACGAGTCACCTGAGGGTTTTGATAAAATACAGATTCTGGTTCAGGGGATCTAGAGTAGTGCCTGAGATCCTGCGTTTCTAAGCACCTCCCGGGTGTTGCTGATGCTGCTGGTTGGATTGCACTTTGAGCAATGAGGTTATAGGTAGGAATGACTCGAGTGTGAGTTTCCTCTGCAGCTGGGGCAAGGTTACTGATAAGTGATCCAAGGAAATGAGAATTTAATGAGCTTGAAAATGTGGGGAGCTTTATCATTTTTAATTCATTTTTCCTCTTCCTTCCTTCAGGACAGCTCTCTTTTCTTTTCTCTTCCAATAGCCCACTAACTGCCACTTCATTTTAAGTTCTTGTCCCATTGGATGCATCCTCCTATCTTCAGGCCCCTGTTGAAGCTATTCACAGCCTCAGTAAAAAGCCTGTTAAGTGTCCTTCTGAAAATACAGGATTCATAGCTGGAGCCATGAATAATTATAGTATCAGAGTAGGAGCTCTGTTTCCTGAGTACTTACATTGAGCTGCCAGGTATTATTTAAAAACAGTAGAGCTGCCTCTAAAGGCTGACAGATGTGGGTGAACCCTAGCCCTGTTGGAGCTTCTGTGATGGAGTTTTCTCATTTGACAAGGTGATGACAACCTACCTTTGAGGGTTGGTGCAAAGGTTACCTGAGATAATGTCTCTTAGGTGCTTTGAGGAGCTGCTGGTTTGTAGAGTGAGCACATAGGGACTGGGGACTTGTGACCTCATTCTGTTTCTGCAGCTCCTTGTGCCTTGACTTGGCAAAGTTGGCTCAGAAACAAAGCCGTTTGCTCACAGAGCCCCCAGTGAGAGAGTGGATACACCAGAATTTGTCTAACTCCAGGCCTGTTTTGTTAACTACTATATTCTGTGAACTCCCTACATATACCATGGATTCGTGTGGTACTAAGTAACTCATAAAATAAAGCTAATAGCTAAGGTCTGTTTCCTCGACGAGCTTGTGTTCTGATAGTTAGCAGACTGACAGAGTGTCCATGTCTTCCCCAACACATGACATTTTTGAGGGAGAGAGCTCCTAAATAAAGATAAATATTTGACAGGCTTGTTTTTACCATTGTAAACCTTTAAGGTATATGTGGTTGTATTGATGTAGGAGCGGTAAGTTTCACCCAATCTGTAATATGCCAATGAGCAGGGAACCATGGAAGTCAAGTTCAGAAGAAGAGGTCCCACACAGGTACCTGCGGAGGGAGAATGGAAGAGGTTACCTGGATTTAGGGTGGAAACGGACTTGTTCCCAGGATGTTCTTTGCTATGCTGCCATTGTGGAATCCAGGACACTTAACATGGTGGAGGGTACAGAGGAGAGCTTGACTAGTTCACTCTTTCAGTGCCATCTTTGAATTCTGGGCAGCTTTCACCTAATGGAGATCGGTTCCTTAATTCATACCCTGGTTGGCCTCTAAAGATCTGGCCTTGATTTGTGTAGCCCTCTCCCCACCCACCACCTGTAGGCACCCATTTGTGGTCGTTACTGCGGCATTGAGATATGACATTGGTGGGCCTGCCGCCCCACTAGAGGGGGTATGGGTGTGCTGGGGTTTGCCCTGGGCTTCTAGTCTAATCCCACGTCACACCATGCCTGCTTCGGGGGTGATTTCCAATCTCCAGAGTTCATTCTGTCATAGGTTTTCTTCCACTTTCATCCTTTTTCCTATAACTGATTTTTTTTTTCAACAACTGAACAGGTATGAGTGTGTTTTAATGGTGTAAGTATGTTAGAATGAAGCTTTTACTGTAGTGGTGCATTGTAGGCAGCTGTTGGAGTGAATGAATAGGCCTAGGGAAGTGCAGGACAAAAGGCCAGCCAGCAAGTGGTAATTGTATGTTAATTGTGGGTAATTAATGTTATTAGGAATACCTCTCCATAGGGACTATGCTGTAATGACCATGGAGCAGAAATTCAACTTGCGCTCCTGTTTCTTAGCTGGCATATCCATTGCTACCTGGGGAATACCTGTGTCTGTCAGGTTTGGCCATTCCAGTCTCCTTCCTAGTGAGCAAAGCGTTAGATTTACACGATTAAGGATCATTTATAAGATGGTTTGGAGAGGAGCTGTGTACCTAATTTTGTTCCTTGTTCGGTGTTTTCTGTCACTTACACACTCTGGTTTAATTGTTTGATGTTTAGTAAGATTCTGCAAATAGTATCCCCACTGAAGCAAACCTACAAGGATCCTCTGGGTCTGGGAGGCTTTCTGATTTGAGCCGGTTAGAGGTGCTTTGTGCTGACGTACCGTGTCTGAGAGGAAAACTGATCTCCTTCTCAAGGGCCTTCTCCAGGGTCAGACTCTCCAAGTCTGAGTTTCAGCTCCGAAAGTTCGATTTTTGTTGGTGCGCCCAAATTGAGCCCCTTTTGGGACCCTTAGTGGCAAGACTCACTGGAGACTGATGCTGTGAATACCAGCCTTTTGCTTCCAGTGAATAAGCAGCCCTTGCAGCAGACTCAGACCCAGGTGGTCAGGATGCCCCAGCCCTCTGTAAAGTCTGCCTTAGAAGCCAGTCAGGCAAACCCGGGATTGGAACAAAGTGAGTTAAACAGATCATGTTATTGTGTAGTTTTGGGGCTGTGATACTTAGATGTCGATATGACCCTCGATTCACATCTTCCACCTGGACCAATGGCCTGGCATGCTCCCTGCTTTTTGTCATCTCTCCTGGATGGTGATGGGGACATGCTACTAAATCTTAGAGGCTTCTCCAGAGCGCCTTTCTACCACTGAAGTAGTCTTTTGGATTTGGAACCAATTAGGTTTTAGTTGTGAGTAGGCTAATAAAATTGATTTTCACCTTTCATAGGAAGAATTTGATTATATTTTTAGATTTGTGAGTGATGCAGTGATGATTTTCTGAGTTTATTGGCCATGATTGGACTGGGTTATTACCTGTTCTTCAGTTACACCTTTACTTCGCTTACTTCCGCCATGTATTGCCCAGCTTCCCCACCCCCATGATTGGGCAGCCAAAGGGTAGGGCACACTTGGCCACGCTCTGTAGTGGGCAGAACATGCCATGATGTTTATGAGCTAGATGCTTTTTCTCCAGTGTTTCTTAGAGTTGTGTGAGCTCTCTTTACACTGCTTTCCAAATAGGCCTGAATGCTGCAAAGCCTCACAGTTGACATCAATTGCCTTTGTAACTTCTATTTTAGATTTTTGTGCTTTGACCTTTTATTTTTATTTTTAAAAAGGTTTTTTTGTTTTGTTTTGTTTTTTTAATTTATATTTAGAGAAGAGATGGAGAAAAAGAGTGAGGGAAACATCAACGTGAGAGAGAAACATTGATTGGTTTCCTCTCATATGCACCCCGACGGGGGACTGAACCTGCAACCCAGGCATGTGCCTGCCCTGGGAATTGGACCAGTGACCTTTTGCTTTGCAGGATGACACCCAACTGAGCCTCACTGGTCAGGGCTGCACCTTGAGTTTTTAAAATGATTTTCGTATAGTTATTTTTGTGACTGAAAATACAATAATACAAACTAGCATTGATTGAACTCTCGTTATGGCAGGTACTGTAAGGAGGGCTTCACACATACTATCTCATGTAATCCTCACAAACCCTGTGAGGGCAGTTTTATTGATATTTTCATTTCATACCTGAGGGAACTTGAGACATAGAGTATTTATGTAGTCTGCTTTAGGTCACACAGCTGCAGCAGGGAGTCAGACCCACTGACCAGTAAGTCACTGGAGAAGGGTGGCATCTTGGCAGCGGGTAAGAGATTTCTGTTAGGGGGATGTCCCTCCCCCCAACACCTTCCCTTAAAGGTGCATGTATGTTTGTCCTTCCTTCTACCCTCACTTTCAGGTACGCTTTTACGAGTATTTGTTAAGTCTGTGGTTCTTACCACTTTACCTTCATTCCTTCTTGGGGGTAAAATAACAGTATTGCCCATTTCCGCTCTTAAGAGTAGCATGCAGAAACTTTATTTGACTTTGTATGCACATTTGGGTATACTCTTACATCCTGCAGTTTACCATAGTGGAAGTGCTACATTTGAATTCTGCAAGGCTGTCCTGTCTGCTTTGTTAATAGTGTGCATAATCTCAAGTTCACTTTATCTCATCATCAGGCTGGGGTGGGGGCAGATTCCATGCTGGGGTGGAATTCAAGCATCTGTTTGGGGCAGTGTCCCATACTTTGTGACTCTTGGCAGTAATGCTCTGGTTACTGTCACAGAGGGGGATTGTTGAACTGGCTCTCCAGGGATGCTGTGCAGCGTACCGGGCAGAAGAGAGGCGCCTAGGCAGAAAGGACAGCATGCACAGTCTGTAGGTATAGGAAGCGCAGTGTCTTTGGGTAACAGAATAGCTAAAAGCTCGCACATAGGGTACGTGTGAATGAAGGAAAAGGGAGGAAGGCCAGGAGAGGGGCTTGGCCTTTATTCTGTCGAGTGGTGAGCCGTTGAAATATCTGAGTGAGGTGCAAAATGATCTGATTTGTGTCTTAGGAAGATAACTTTGAAGGAGGCGAGGATATGATGAGGGCTTGGAGTTGAGAGGCAGTTAAAAGGCAGAACTGCCATTATCTGGTGGATTTGATGCCTGGACGAAGGAAGACAAGTCCCAGATGGCAGATTTTGTTCTGACATGGAGGGATGGATAGATGTGACATCCCCGAGACACGGGAGAGGAGGCGGCCTTGGGAGGAGATGCGCTGCGATGTGGGCTGAGACTGGCTGGCTTTCCGAGGTCACCTGTTTTTAAGGGGCAGACCAGCAAGAAGGACCCCGAGGAGGCAAATTAGGAGAGGAGGAAAGATGTGAGTGGCAGTGGCAGGGGGAGGAGAGATTTTAAGGCAAGGGGAGTCAGCAACCAGTGTGGGACTGCAGAGAGAAGCCCAGAAGAATGAAAAGAGGTCTTTATTATGAGCCATCATTGTACCATTCTTGATAGTCAAGTAGCTACAAAAGGTTATTAAATAAAATAAGGAGTTTGTGTTTGTAAATGAAGATCTCACACAAAACTGTTGGCACTGCGGCCACTGGCCTCTAGCAGAGCCTTTTGTGCAGATGGGCTTCATTCTCCGGCCCTCCATGGGAGCAGCAGGAATCCGGTGACTGAGGGAACCCAGAGGTTCCTTCCATTCCCAAGAGCCTGTGACTCTGTGGCCTCTTTAAAGTTGAGGGAAGAGGAGGAAAATCCCTGGTTTTCAGGGTACTGGAGAGATGCCTGGGGTGGTAACGGTGTTAGACTGCAGGGCTGGGCCCATTTCTGGAGGGAAGTGCGTGCACTGAGGTCAGCTGGTGGAAATTAACAAGCACAGGCCCTCCCTCCAGAGTGTGAGGTGTGTTTCTGGCTCGGGCTGTGTGTGGACCAGCTGTCTCCAGGAAAGTGGTTCTGATGGGGTGGCCTTGGGGCAGGTATCCCTACATTACAGAAATTCTCACTTCAGTGAGGGTTGGACAGATTCACATGTTCCATTCTTGCCACAGATTCCATGGAAGTGAAACCCATCATGACCAGAAAGTTGCGGAGGCGACCAAATGATCCTGTCCCCATTCCAGACAAGAGGAGAAAACCTGCTCCTGATATCCGTTTGCATCAAGCTTTGGTCACTTTTTTTTCCTCTTGAGACTATTGAATCCTTAGTTTACCCATTTGATAGAATACACGTGATTATTGTGCTACAGAAAAGAGTCATATTTGATTGGAAAACAGGGGCCAACCATTTTATTGTTGAAGTCCTCAATTCTACTGCTTTTAGTGGGAAGAACTTATACGGAGCAGATATTTGGAAGGGTACTTTGTGTTGGAAGTTCAACCGGGTTTTAAAACTCACTTGGAGATTCAGGGGCAACTGAAAATTTTATGTGCCTTTATTTTTTTTCACCTGTAACATGAGGACAACGATCATCTGCTTTTTCTACCTCCGTTATCTCTATTCCTGGATTGCAAACTGTTGTTAAATTAAAGCAAATGAGATTTCATCAGACATAAAGAAGCCCCTTTAGTCATAAAAATGGGAATGGGTAGAGGACGTATGGAGAAATTCTGTTTCTGTCATTCTTGAGGAACTAATAAATAGCCATTTACACAAATAACCGTTTACAAAGTTGTGTAGTCATTTGTCTGCCACCAGGAAAGGGCATAACTTCCGGTTGCTTTATCTTCACAACTGAGAGTGTAAGTTGCTAGGGAAGATTAACCCCAGTATGTATGAGGAAGTCTTCAGATCTTTGGAACAGAAGCACTTCATAAATTCAGGATGAAGTTCTTTTATCGTGTGCTGTGCTCACTGTTATTTTAGTTACCTATTGAAGCTCATTCCACCTTTGCATCATTGAAGCTTGTAAGATGGAGGGAGGGGCGGGTATGAATTCTTTTATATACCTGGCACCACAGTGTTTAGTAGGAGAATCAAAAAGTTCCAGGAGACAGGCTATTATTGTAAAAATGTCATGAAGCATGATTACACTTTGTAAATTCTAAAATACTGGTACCATTTTGTCGAATTCTGTTTGCTTGGAAACTGCACTTTTCAGACGCCTTTCTTTAACTCTTAATACCCCAGCTCAACTATTTGTTAACAGACGAACAGATCATGGAGGATCTGAGAACGTTAAATAAGGTACGGTTTGATGTTTTGATTTATTTGAAAGCTTAGGTTTAATATGATTTTCTGCTTTACTTTGTTCACATGTTATTTGTTAAATCAATTTGATACCTTTGACATCATTACATCTGAAATGATTTTCTCTAAGATTTTTTGTTGTTCTTTCTACAGCTTAAGTCACCCAAGAGACCAGGTAAGTGCATGGCATTATTGGCAATTGTGCAATCTTTTTATCACGTATTTGGAGAAGCATGCGAATACCTGGTGGGGAACTGTTGCCATTCTCAAAAATAAAGTGTCCATCATTTACCATGGGGTAATCGTCGTGAGAGCTGAAGAGAACCGTAGGTGCACCCTCCTCTGATTTTTTTTTTAACCCTGTTATGTTAAAGCTATTTTTGTCTTTTCCTTAGGATTTATTGTAAAAGAGACATTTGATTGATTGGATGTCCTTTCTGTATGGGCATCAGCCATAAGATTTAAGTACACTTCCATTTCTAAAAATGAAACCAGAAGGATTTTTCAGTATTGCTTTCTTTGTGGAGTTAAGTACTAGGCACTGCTGTTGTAGTGGCTTTTCATGGCCTGGTCAGGAACTTATAGGCTCATGGAAGAGGCCATCCCAGTGTTCACCACGGTTCCTTCTAGAGCCTCACTCGAGAGTCATTGCTAGGCTGCCTAGCAATGGAATCCTGAACAGGCAGGGCATGTTTTTTGTTTGTTTGTTTGTTTTTGGTTTTAAGCAGTGTGATTACTCACACATCCCTCTATTCACTGAAACTTGGGGAAGAAAATAAGATTCTTCTTTCTTTAAATAATTTCCTCCTGAGGGCTGCTGTTGTCTACAGACAGGGCCTGAGTTTCTGAAGACATGATGAGGAAAGGGGTTATTTGAGTAAGAGTGTGAATTTAAATTACATAAACCACCGTGGTTACTAGCACTGTATTAGCTTGACTCTGCATCTACCTAGTAATAAATAGGTAGAGCAATAGCCTGCTCTACCTAGAATAAATATTCTAGAAATTATTTTTTATAAATTTAAAGACATTTACTGAATTCTTTTTCTTTTGGGCTTCTGATGGTCACTGGGATTTTAGTTCTACTCCAGGCAATGTTGGGCAAATCCCTCAGCCGGCCTGAGCCTCAGGTTTCACCTCTGTTCAGTGAGGTTAATCTTCTCGCTTACCTCACAAGTTTGCTTTGAGGATTGTTAGATGTGTTATACAAGAATTTTATTGAATTCCCTTTTATTACAACTGTGAGGACTTGATTATGATTATGAGCACCTTTTAGTAACATTTCAGCTAAAACATATTACTGGTGGATTCGCATGTTTGTTACATGATTAGTCATTGAAATATTTCTTTGGTTTCTGCAGCCTCCCCGTCCTCTCCTGAACACTTGCCTGCCACACCTGCTGAGTCTCCAGCCCAGAGGTTTGAAGCCCGGATAGAAGATGGCAAATTATACTATGATAAAAGATGGTATGTTGTAGGGAAAAAAACTAGATTGCTCATAAGAGTCTCAAAAGAACCACCTGGAAAGAGGGCTGGGCCAGTCTACAGTTGTTTCAGAGCATGGCTGCTGCTTGACTTACATGGTGTGAAAAGTGGGGTAACATTTAAACGGGTATTGGGAGTGATGCGGTTGCTGCTACTTGTTAGATCTCTGAAGGCAGTGTTTTTTTCAAACGGTGTTCGCTGCTCGTGGTCGCCCTTTCTCCCTCCGCGCTGCGCCAGCACTTGCAGCTTACATCTTGTGTGGAGCTCCTGGAGCCTGGGTCAGGGTTTATGTCTTCCTCTGTCTTCTCATAACTCCGCCCCGTGGGCTAAAATTAATAGGTCTTCTGTGGTCCAGTGAGCTTGGGGGATAAAACCCTTGGTGCAGATAAATGGGTTTCTCCACTGTAGCACTCCTTGGGTCCTCCGCTGTGCTCATGTACCCTGTGAAATTCTAGGGTGCTGTCAGGTGTTGTTGATTTGGTGAGGGACCCTTTCACCTGCTCATCCAGAAAGCATACTTGGGGGAATTGTAGTTTAGACTGAAGAAGAGTTGAAACCTTCAGACCACCTCTATTTCCGTTGGGAAGGAAATGGCAAAACAATATGAAAAAACCTTAAAAATTCATAAATGTGTTGATTCAGCAAACACTTACTGTCTGCTCTGTAACTAGGCATTCTGGGAGGTATTAAGTTACCCGGATCCTGCCACCCTTTCACAGCTCTTTTAATTCTGATACATTCCTTCATTCATTGTCCATATGTGGCCTACTCTTCCTCGGCTTAAGTCATGCTGGACATATATTTGTATTCTTCTGCCTTTCTCCTTCCCTTCTTCCCTGCTCGTTGGGCACTTTGGCAGTCTTGTACTTTAATGTTGCTTCTTAGAACGTATTACCACTAGGTGGCAGGCCCTAACAGCTCAAAACATGGGGGGCAAAATATGGTGAAAAATATTTCAAATAATGAAAACCAAATAACCTTTAAAGATCAAGTCCACGCATCAGAAACATCTTCAAAAATGATGAGATTTATCACGAACATTGTTATGGATCTCGAGTCCTAAAGCCATATGATATTTGAAATAATGTTCATTTTGTAATTGTGTTGCTTCAGATCTTTCTAAGGCTTAATCCTTCGACTTTATGAGACATGTCTTTAGGGTGAAATGCTGTAAAATAAAATTCTTGTTTTTCTAAAGACAGGATCCACAGTGACTAGTGTTTCATGATGTAAACAGTGGTCAGGTTTGCTGTCCTAGACCTCTGAAGCATTTTGAAGGAATTTCACTGTCTTTCTCACAATTTAAAAAATTCTAAAAATAAGGTCTTTGGGAGCATTTTACTTTTCAGTGAATTTAAAGCTGATTTTGTTTTATTGTTAAATATCAAGACTGTTTTCTTGTGTATTCTGCGTGTCTCTCTTCTTTGGCCTTGGCAGTCAAAGTCCATGGCACATCTGTTGAAAGGCAGCTCAGATTCCTCCCTTCCGTATTTGGAAGGTGTTTAAGGGAATCCTGGTCGACATCTTTACCAGCACAGACTGGCCCCTCATGTCTCACCAGCCATGGTGTTTGCCTTTCGTGTCCTTGTCAGTTGGAGGCTGTCATTTTTCCTTCTTTTCAGCATTCATAGCCTGTGGCTGAGAGGTCAACTGAATCGCTTTATGTTCTTTCCAGTAGTGTGGAGTATTTTGGCTAAACAGTGTTTCTGGCAAAGCATGTTTCATTGAGTTTTAAATGACTTCAGCAAAATGAGTGTGGTTCTGGCTTCCCATCTTGGCAGGAACACTTATCAAGCTACATTTCATTTTGAAAGATAAGCATCTTCCCTTTGCTTTGGTCTCCCTACTGCTTTTAAGGCATTTTATATCCTGCTGTACGTTTTCCTCACATTTTGATTTGGACTAATGACCCTTCTTAGAAAGTACTGTGAAAGTAGCTGATATTTAAAATAACTGACTGGTGGTGCCGGCAGGCTGTTCATTCCTCCTCACATTAAATCTGGGGCTGCTAATATGGATCAGAAAAGAAGTCACCCACTTGCTTGAGTGGATTTCACTCTCTAGCCTTCCACTGACAAAAGATTGTCCACTCAAAACAGTGAATATTTACAACTAGGATTGGGATTCCTTGAGGCTATAGCTGTGACATGGTCTTTTCTTTTGGAGTGAAACATTAATATCAGAATTCCCAGTAGGATACAAAATTAAATTAATTCTACCCCCCTACCCCACTTTTTGACTCACCTTCTAAAGAAACTACTTTATTCCATAATGGTAGTGGTGATTCTAGTTCATTGGGTTTAATAGTAGAGGCAAAGCTTTAAGAGCTTAATTGTAGGGATTCCCAGGTCAGAATTTCTATTAGTAATAAAGGAATAAAGTTAGCTTCACATTTGGGGCTTGTCCTCTGAAGCTATTTAATAAAGTATTTTTTCAGCAGAGATGAGTTATAGCTTGTAAAATGGGTTAATTGGCAAAAAAGTGATAGTGTACATTTTTCCTAATTTAGCTCAGTTGATGTTGCTTTTTAACATTTTTTATGTGTGAAGTATATTTTGAAATTTCCCCTAGAAATTGGGAAGTAAATTTGTATTTTAAGGTTATAATGTAATTTTTGGCTTCATTTTAAAAACACCCCCTATATGAGCATTAGGACTTAACTGTATTTTGCCATGTATAATGCACACTTTTTTGCCCAGATGTTGAGGGAAAAATAAGGATGTGCATTATACATGGGCATAATAATTACACGCCATGGGTATGATAATGGGTACGATAATGGGTATAATCCCATGTATAATGCGCACAAACATGGGTGCACGTTATGCATGGGAGCACATTGTGCATGGTAAAATATGGTATTTTTTTCCAGAGAATTCAGATAATTCATTTATTTTTTATTTTTTATTGTTTTATTTTATTATTTTTTTATCAGAGAGAGGGGAAGCGAGAGAGAAAGAAAGGGAAAGAAATGTTGGCGGCTGCTTGTATGTATCCTGATTGGGGACTGAACCTGCAACCCAAGCACTTGCTCTGACTGGGGATTGAACAATGTGCTTTCGCTTTGCAGAATGACAGCCAACCCACTGAGCCACACCTGTCAGCGAGAATTCAGATATTTTAGTAGATTTGATATCCAGAGAATGATGGTTCCCCAAGGCCGTTGTGTGGCGCATGCATGTCCTGGAGCTTCTGAGACGGTGCTTCAGGAGGTGATGGGAATCTGTTGGGTTCGAAGTGGGCCAATTTGGGAAACACACTGACCATCTCTCCCATGGAAGAAAAGGTGACCGATGGTGGATATTCAGGCCACCACCATTTGGGGATCCCAGAGCAGGCACCTTGGGGAGGTGGCCAGATGCTTAATTCCCAGACCGCTTTTCAGGGGTAAGAGATGGGTTGCATTGTTTATTCCTGATGTTCACTGTTAGGCCAGTCAAGTGTGTTGGGGTTTGGACTTTGAGCACATCTGAATAAAAACAACACATCTTAAAGAGAATTGTTTGAATAGTCTCCCAGAGTTAACTATTGTCTTTTAACAGACATTAAGATAAAATTTGTGACATTAAGTTTTCTTTTTACCTAATCTTATTTAGGTATTAGCGAGTATCATGATTTAAGAAGATATTACGTACTTTTTAATATAAGTGCTACCTGTTCTGAAAAAAAGAAAGCTATGCAATAAAAGGAATACCATTTTTAACTTACATTTCATATTTTTATAAAATTTTAATACACATTTTAATATATAAATTTACCCAGTCTTTTTCTGTGTATGATACTCATATAATAGGCATGTTTTGTTACAGGCACAAGAACATAATGGACATAGTTATTTAGCAGTATATTGAGCAGGTTACCACACTAGTAATACACTTCTGTACCATATCCATGATTTTCCTTTATTAAAGTATTTAGAGAGTAGCATCAGATTGACTTTAGGCTAGTTGTCTGTTGTTTTGTGTTTTTTATCTCTTTAATAAATTACAATCCCTATAGAATAACTGAATGCTCTCTCTATTTGTATTCTAACCATGTCGATAGGGCAGTTGGATTAGATGTGGGAGGGAATCAAGTTTGAGTTTTGTTGTGAACTAATTCAGCCTTTCCTCATGCATTGTACAATTCAGAGCTTGCAGTAATACATATTTAGCATTATTAAAGGTCCCTTAACCCATTTCACCAACTAATCTCTGGCAAGAAGCCAATTTGAAGCTGGATCTAAACCAATCTTGCTGTTCTAATTGTGTTTATAATTCAGTTTTTTTAAACTGTTTTCAAGAAGTAAATTGACTTGGAAACCTTAGTTTTCAGTTCCTAAAGTATCAGATTAAAGAGTGCTTAGAACCTAGATTGGAAAAAGCTTATTGTGGGAGTGAAGTACATCCTTTACTGTAATGTCTTGGCAATAGATTATTTCATTATACCAGCAAAACAGTCCGCTCTCTTCTCCCACGGAAATAATGATATAAATGCAGTGCATTGCTGGGGGATGCATTTTGGTTTTGTTGGAATTTTCGTGAGTTAGTGAGTCTATTAAATCAGATCCGTGCAGCCAGAATGAACCAAAGGTTATGTTCTTGACTGAACAGGTGCTGGCCCAGGCTGGGGCTGCCAGCTCTTGTAATCCAGCAGCTGCTCCTTCATTCTGTGGCAGCTGTTATTGTCCCATTTGGCTTTTCTCTGGCTTCCTCACTTTCATCCTCAGCCTTGTCCCTGAACTTGTAGAAGTTGAAGGTGGTCTTGCACTATAGGCCAAGTGAATAGATAAGGGGCAAAAGGGCAGTGTCTGTCACGTCTGCTCCATTTAAAGCAGCTCTCCTGACTGACTAGGCCACGGTAGATACTCTGGTTCATGTCACAACACTCAGAACTTCACCCAGCTACTCTTGCCAGGTGTGATTATTTCATCTCCTTCACTGCCGCTGTATTTGAAGTTCCATGACAGCAGGGACCATGTGGACTTGTTCGTTGTCTGCCTCCAACCTTCAGCATAGTCAGTGGTACACAGTGAGTGATTAATGAGTGTTTGTCGAATGAGTGACCAAAGTAAGGGCTGGATTTGGCCTACATTCTTGTTGGTGACTTATTGGATAAATAGAAAATAAATAACAGAACAAACCGTTGTTTAAGCCCATCTATTCGTTTTGTCTACCCAGCCTTCTTCAGTGTTTTGGGGTGAAAACAGGTTTTAGTTGAAAAATTATAATTTACTTTTTGAATTGAGTCATATAGTCCAAATAAAAAAATAAATATAGAGTTAATTTCCTATCCCTTTTCTGGGCCCTCCCCTTTCCGCCTCTGGAGAGGGACCAAGGAACATAAGTTTTAGATTTAGAAGAAGATAAGGAGGTCATCATCTAATACAATCTAAGGCTGGAAGCCTTTAAATTAAACCTGAAATTCAGAATCTTCCTCAAACATCAATTAAGACTCTTTTAATTACATTTTTTTCTGTGGTGATCTTTTTTCCCCTTCTCTTTCCTTCCTTCCTAAAAAAAATCTGTGCCTTTAACAGTACTGTATTGTATACCTAAAATTTTTTAAGAAGGTAGATCTTGAGTGTTCCTAACTCAAAAAAACACCAACAAAAACCAATAATCATAATAAAGAGGACAGACAGAAACTTAGGGAGGTGAGATATAGATATATCTATAGATATATAGATATATCTATAGATATATATATATATATATGGCCATAGATATTCAGGGGTGGGCAAAAGCAGGTTAATAATAAAGATACAATAATTAATAAATTATTAACAATGCAAGAATAAACTGTTTCATGTACTCACAGCTGTAGACCTACTTTTGCCCCCCATGAATGTCTATGGCCTTGATGGTGGTTTGGTTTCACAGGTGTATACTTAATCCCCAGACTCATAGTGGTGTATACAGTAAGTATGTACTGCTTTTTACATTTCAATCATACTTCAATAAAGCTGTTAAAAAAATGAACTTGTGTTCCATTTTTGGCAGGTACCACAAGAGCCAGGCCATCTACCTGGAGTCAAAGGACAACCAGAAACTGAGCTGTGTGATCAGCTCTGTTGGAGCCAATGAGGTAGGGACTGAACTCTCTCGCCCTGGGGGAAAGCAGAAGGTGACACACCTGCAGTGCGAGGGCCACTGAGAAAGTGCAGTGGAATCCTGTGTTATATGTGGGTTAGTCCAAAGTCAGCGCTTTCAGGCAGAAATTGCATATAGGCGAAATCACCCTTGAAAATCCTTTACTTTGCCTGACTGCAATATATGCAGATTTGTGTTTATCTTGTATCTGTGAACTCCCTGTACAGTAATTGAGTTGGGAACCACTAGCTAGACAACAGGAAAGAACAAAAGGCAAATCTGCGTGGTATCTGTGCTTCCAAATCCTGCTGCTTTTTTAAGGTAACCATCTACTGAGAATGGAACTTGCCTGTGGAGTATACTCCATCTTTGTTATTTCTCTAGAACTTTCATGTGTACTAATAGATTTGTTTCATGGCATTGAGGTTTGTATTGAGGCACCTGGCACAGTGTCTGGCACATAGTGAGTGCTCAACAAATGGATGCTGGTCAGGTCTGACCCACACAGTGCTGCTTGCCTGCTGCCATTTCAATTTGACATGCCCTGTTGTGCCTCTGAACACTGAGCTAGCGGGCGCGTGCCATTAGCGGTTGGCCTCCAGTCACTGCTCAGGGATGGGGGCTGGGTTGTAAAGTCAGCCCACACGGTTATGCTCAGGGAGGAAGACCTGGCCCGCCTGTGAGTTCTCTCACTGGCGCTTAGTTAGGCAGCTACCAGCAGAGTGTAACCTATACTGTAAGTAGTATTTAAAAAAAAAAAGTTTAGAACTTTAATATCTGGATTGGCTTGATTTTTTTTTTATCAGTCCACAAATGTCTGCAGTGAAATTGATTATTATGTGTCTGCCCTCTAACTTATTTGTGCCAGTGCACAGTAAATCTAATGAAACTGGATTATGAAATAACTTAAGCCTCTTCTATTCTCCCAGCTTCCTGAATTGAAAATGCCCTTAAATGTGACTAGTTTGCAAAATGATTGTTTACTAAGAAGTTAGGGAGAGCCTTCTAGATAAATGAATGTCATTCTTCTCTGCACTCAGGATCTATGTGTCACCGTAAGCCAAGTCAAAACCAGAACAGGAGATCTGATGGAGACGCTTGCTGCTCCTCAGCAAGAGGTGTCATGATTTCACAAAAGAGATTTGGTGCCGGGCTGTGTGGGCTGCTGCACAAAGCATGTGTGTGGCCCCCTAGCACCGAAACCTAACCTCAGGTCCAGTGCTCTCTTCTTCCTGACACTGCAAGGCTTTTCAGGAAAATAGAAATGCAAGCTAGGTTTTTCTGTCTCTCTGTTGAAGGTTGTTGCCCTTCGACATAATAGAGTGTCAACGAGGTCTGACAAGGAAACGGTGACACTGAGACATGTCCCCTGGAGGGGAGACAGCTCATTGCATCAGAGGCATGCACCTCTGGTAACAGGAAAACATTTCTTACTTCTTGGAGGCATTCCAGCTCATTTTTCAGGTCACATCCTAAGTGACACTGGAGCTACTTGGCCTTTGCATAACTTGACTGGGCAGAATTGGTGGGTAGATCTGAGTGTATTGATGACTTCCCAGTTCAGCCCTCCTTGGGGCCAGTTTTTACTTGAAAATGGTTCTACAAGCTCCTTTAGAGGTTCAGCTTCATGTGAGGTCTTCAACTTTATTTGTAAACCAGTGTGTTTGACTTTAAAGTCTGTTGCTAAATAAATCATAGTAAAGAAATTGAGATGAAACTGAGAATAAGCTTTTCAAAAAATCTTATGGTTGGGGGAGGGAGAAGATACATGTAAACTTGCATGTATATGATACAGATTTTTAAAAAAAAATTATGTGTATTAAACACATGAGGGAACTGATGAGAAGAGTCAGGGCCTGGTTTAGTGGAGGAGAGCAAGGGCTTCGATGTCAGGCGCCAGGGCTTAGATAGGACATATGACTCAGCCTTGCTCTTCTGTAAAAGGCGGGCCGTGAGGATGAGGAGGCGCAGCTTCATCAGCACAGTGTCTGGCACAGAGGAGCCCTTCGCTCAGGGTGTCAGCTCCGCCCCCCTCCTGGCTGCAGGGATGCCCCTTACGGAGTGCACTTGGCAAATCTGGCAGTCCCCCTGCTGCAAGAGTTCATTCTCGGTTCTGCGGAGGAATGTGTCTGCCTGTCACATGCGAGACGTGCTGCCCTCTGTGGGAGAGCCGTGTGGTCAGGAGGGAAGGACTCCCTGAAGCGAGTGTAACCTTCGCGTGATCCTAATTGGGCCTTAGCTCACTCAGGGGCATCTTTTTTCGTTACTATTTTTTTCCTTATTTTCCTGTCACAACCATTAACCTTAATTGTTAGGATATCGGTATTGAAAAGCTATAGTACTGAAGTCCCTCGGGGTAACAACAATATTTCATAATTTGATTGAAAGTTTATATTCAAGAATGTATGTATCTTGAATATTGGTTATGCGGTAGTCTAACCACATCTAAAAGAGTCCCTCAGATCAAGGCCGAACTGGAACCCAGTATCATTGTGCTTTCCATTTTCTTTCTTTTTTAAAAAAAATTTCATTTATTTCCAGAGAGAGGGGGAGGGAGGGAGAAAGAGAAGTAGAGGAACATTGATGTGTCAGGGAAATATCCATTGGGTTGCTGCTCACACGCCCCCTACTGGGGACCTGGCCTGCAACCCAGGCATGTGCCCTGAGTGGATTCTAACCAATGACCTTTCAGTTCATAGGTCCATGCCCAATCCACTAAGTCATACCAACCAGGGCTCTTTCCATTTTCTTAATCAAAAGTGTAAGAAGGATGGCTGGGAGAAATGAGTTCAAGAGCTGATGCCTACCCTCTACATTAGAGGCATTCCTTTAGGAGGGCCAAAGGTCAAGGAGGTACTTTTGAAGGCCTTGCAGGTTGACAGCAAGAGGTTGCCAGTTTTCTGCCTACACCTAATTTATGTAAATATTTTCATGCTTTGGAAGATTTTCTCCTCAGTCTTAGCCTCTTTCATCTTGTTCCCTTTCCTTCTCCCCTGCAGATCTGGGTGAGAAAGACAAGTGACAGCACGAAGATGAGGATTTACTTGGGCCAGCTTCAGCGTGGGCTCTTTGTGATCCGCCGGAGGTCAGCGGCCTGACTTTCTACAGTGCTCTCCTTCCCTTGACCTTTTTTCTGGAGTGGTTTTTGGTTTTTGGTTTTGTTTTGTTTTCTTCTTAATAGAAAGTTTTTAACTTGGGAGTTGCTCCTTGGCCTTGGAAAATGGAGAACACTGTTGTGGATTCTGCAAGGCACTTTCGTGGCCAGTCACTTCCATCTTTGTTTCATCCTTTAACTGCCTCGACTTCTTCCAGCCAGGAGTCACCACGAGATGATTTTACTTTCTGGAGTATTGGGAGTTTGACTTACTTGTTTAATTTTTTTGCTTTGTGTATGTGGGGGTTTTTTTCCCCCAAAACGTCCTTTGAGTTTGAAGGGACATTTCTTTTCATTAATTATCTTTAAGTCTTTCTACCAAGAAGAGGAGCAGGAAGGGAAACACTCTACAATGCATTTTCATGTTTTGAATCTGATTAGTGGATCACATAGCTACTTCCCTTGTTGAGCCCAATTCACTGTTTCCCCAGAAGCTTAGGGGAGAGGTCCTAGCAGAAGGAGATTAATTCTCCTGGCTCTCAGCCTTCTCAGAGAGAAATAAACACCTTGTGTAACATCTGGCGCATGCCATCCTCTCCACTGACTGAACGACGGAAACATTTGCCTGGGGGACTGCGTGCACTGAAGTAATTGGGGCTGGGGGAAGGGGGTGTTTCATATTCATAATGTGCTGAAGATACTATATTTTAAATGTTATTTAGTGCAAGTGGTTTATTCACACAGTTGTTCGAGCTCAAGCTGGAACAAGAAGTGGTCATGTCAGACGGTTTCCTTTGTAATTCATTTCCTCTGCTCCCAAGTAGGTGAAGTGGTACCTGCCACAGGCTGGTTATCTGGGTTACCTATCGAAGGTGGGGAGGCGAGGTTGACAGTGCAATAACCAGTCATCTACAGTCTCTGACTCATCATTCAAATTGCGCTTTCGTCACTGATGCCGTTATTGCACATTGGCCATGTCAAACCAATGGAAGCTCGTCGGCACTCGCAGCCTCCAGATCTCCCAGGGGGCCTGGCCCAGGGCGGAGACGGGAGGCTCTGCCGTGGCTGCCACCAGACCTGCACTCTTACTGACAAATTCTGATGAAACAGCCTCCCCTGTACTCCCTACTTCCTTTCCCTCGTTCCTACAACTAGAAAAATGATCATTGGGTGATGGGTTTTTTTATATGCTAGTTGCCACCTTATGATGTTTATTAAGTTTTGGGAGTTAGAGTAAATGTTAGCATCTCTGTGGGCAAGACTTCATACATCCTAGGAAATCTTTGTAAATAACTCCCTTGGTCTCACGTGATTCCCTTCGTGCTGTCTCTTGATGTGCACACCCCAAAGCAAGTCATGGGGCTGTGATGACAAGTCAGTCACCTCCAAAGTCCTGGCTTCCACAGAGACCAAACCTTACAGACTCAGAGTAAAGACTTGTACAGATATATTTTTGTTTTAATTTAAAATCTTTTTCTTCCCCTCTTTCTCTCTCTCTTGGTGTTGGAGTCTCATTTGAAAACAGGATAAATGATGCTGTTCATCAAAAATTGCCTGGGCCTTTGTGTGTTTCCTCTGCCCCCAGCCCCCCTTTATTAGGATGTTCACTACAGTGAACCAAGTCCACAGTAAACAGGGACTTCACCTCTTGTTTCTTCTTGGTGGCCTTCGCTGTTTGGGTGATCTCTCTTGCTTGAATTGCCATTGTGGTATGTGTAGCATCACATAATATCAAGTAGCTATTGGTTCTCATCTAGTGCCCTGTGATGGAAGTTATTTAGATATATTTAGTGTATGTTGCCACTGAAGATTATTTTTTCTTTCTTTCTTTCTTTCTTTCTTTTTTTTTTTTGTCTTCCTAAAGTACACCAAAGTTTTGTTTTGTTTTGTTTTGGTGAAAGGATTATTTTGATAATACTTGAGGGTTTAGCATTGAGGCAGCAAGTTGCGTTTTTTCCTTGCCTTGTCTGATGGCGCCTCTGTGCTTTCATGAAGTAACTTTATTTGAAGACCAGGGTCTGGCATTTCGGCCTCTTCTCCTCTGTAAATTTGAGGGTGTTTGAGGCCACGGTTAGGCATGCTCTCCGTCCCATCACTGCCTTCTGTGCTTCAGTGTCGTCGCAGCTCTTAAAATCATGAGATCTGGTGAAAATGGAGGAAAATGTGATGTAGATGCAAGGCACAGCACAGTAAATTATATTCCTGACCCCAGGTATTTGTTAATTTTTTTAACTTAATTACTCCAGAGAAGAAAAACTCAGCATTTCAACCACCCAGGCCCCTGTAGTGACCAGGGGTGGAAGAGCCCCCTCGTTAGGAGGTGGGGGAACTTTTGTGATGGGCAAAGTGAACTAGAGAGGGAAACAGACTTTCTGATTCCTAGAATAAGGGGGCCGGCTGTTAGCCCAGGTGGCTGTTCTTATTCCAAAAGGTCTGTCTCTCACTAGATGAATTCCCAAATTCAAACTATTTCCTGTAAGTGGTACTTTGATAAAAATTGGTCCAGACAGTTCTCATCATGAACCTGTATGTGTGTGATTCTGATCAAGAACTTATATGTGTGTTACTCTGATCAAGAACCTTGTATGTGTGTTAACTCTGATCAAGAAGCTGCATGCGTGTTTGGCTCAAGGCATCTGCCTCAAGTACACAGTGTTTGCTATTGATGTGTCCCAGTATTTATTTTACCTCTTCTTGGAGGTTTTGTGTATTTCCCTAACTCCCTCTCTTCCTCAGCCAGTGTCCTCTTGAACAGTTTCCATTTTTCTGTAGCCAAGCCAAAGCCAGGATATTTTTATTTGTCTGGATACTAGTATTTATGGATGTTTAACTACCTAATGTAGCTTAGTTAAAAAACAACAACAACAACAACAACAAACTTCTGACTGGGGCCGCTGTGAGATCCCAGAGGCTGACCTGCAAATCAAGCTACTTACATTTGTGTGGGAGACCCTGTGTTCCGGATTGGGTGACTTTTCTAAGAGAAACATGGGGGAGGGTTGGTTGCATTTTTTAATCTAACTTGGGGGGAAAAGCCTATTTTTTACAATATTGTTGGTTTTGTTTTTCTATTATCATTTCCTTTACCCTTGAATTTTTACTAAATTTCCCCCTGATTTAAAAATCTTGTTTCTAATCTGGGAATTTGAAATCTTGGTACTTACTGTTACACCAATTTTTCCGGAGTGCAAACCACTTTAATATCAGAACACGGTAAAAAAAAAGAAAAAAAATTGCAGCCATTTCAAGCAGTTGGTGGGCTTTTTATACAATAACATCATTAACTGGTACCATTAAATGTTCTGAGAGGTGAATGTAAAATGTAAAAAGTACAGCTTTTTTTAAAAAAAAATAAACTTTCAAAGAGAAAACCAGCGTGTAGTCTGTGTTATGTCCATTGACTTGATAAATGATTGAAATTTATTTTACATTTTTCCTCCAGTGACAGTGGGGAAGGAATTTGGGGAGGAGGGAGGGATGTACTAGATATATGCTCATTTTTTTTTTTTAAAGAGTCAGATAAGGAATGATGTCAAAGACTAACTTTCAGTTTTGTGAAGGACAGTCTAGCGGTGTTGACCCTTAAATAAAGTGTCCCCTCCTTGCTGGAGAGGCTTAAATAATCTGATTAAAAATTGAATAAATAAAATTAACCTTAGGAGGAAACATGTATTCCCAATTGCTATGTATGGATGCAAAAATTGGACAGTGAAGATGGCTGATAGGAAAAAAAATGGATTCATTTGCAAGATGATATTGGAGGAAAGCTGCAGATACCTGGACAGCAAGAAAGACGAATGAGTGAATCCTAGAGCCAATTAAGCCTGAAACATCACTGGAGGCAAAAAAGACAAAATTGAAGCTTGTCCTACTTCAGGCACATTGTGAGAAGGCAGAGTTCTTTGGAAAAGATGGTAATGCTGGGGAAAATAGAAGCCAGCAGGAAAAGAGGAAGACCAACTATGAGATGGACTAATTCCGTAACAGAAGCCATAAATACGAGTCTGCAGAAGCTGAGCAGGGCTGAGGAAGACATGACATTGTGGACATCACTCATTCATAGGGTCACCAGGATTGTGGCTGACTCAGTGGCATGTAACCCAGGAGGAATGTTGAGGTACACTTGTGTCATTAAGGAGAGTGTTGTTCACATGGTACTCTAAGAGCAGTATCTCCCAATCTTACCAAGAAACTTTTCTGCAATAGTATAAAAGTATTTCTGCAGCTCCTGTGGGGGAAACTGAGGAGGTTACTTGCTGCCCCAGGTGACTGACCTGTTGTGTTTGCAAACCAGCTATGGCACACTTGTTGTTTAGGGCTGCTTTTATGCTTTGAATAAGGGAAAGGGGTGGTTACTATTTAAATTTTTTCATTGTAACAGAACATACAGAAAAGTGCACAATTCTGAATTGTAGAAGTTGAGTTTTCTCAAAGTGATTACATCCATATATCCAAGAAATAGCATTATCAGCTTCCTTCGGGTTACTTCTCCCTGTTGGGTAGCTGCTAGTCTGACTAGTTTTCTCTGTTTTAATGACCTTAACCTTCAAGCTCTTGAGCTGCTGGGTCCTTCCGCAGTTCTAGAAGAGCCAATTCCCTGGCCTTAGGCTAGGGGATATGAGAGCTGGCAGCAAAGGATGTGGCCAAATGGAAAGGAAAAGCAGATTCAGGTCAATCCTCTCACCCTCCTTCTTGGTTATCAAGGCAAACGGGCTTGCCCTTAATGTTAGTGTGTGCCTTTTGCTGAGTACTTTTTTTGTGTTGGACACTACTAAACCCTTCCTAGGAGGTATTTTCCCAATTTTCACAATAAACTGAAGAGAGTACTAATAATCCCAAACTTAAGGCTGACTTCCTAATAATCAACCCAAGGTTTAATTCTATGAAACCCAGAGCTCAGCACTGTGCCTAGCCATGGAAAGTGCTCTGCAAATGTTAGCTGTTGAGTAGTGTTAGTGCAAGGTGACATGCAAACAAAGGCAGCTGGTTAATAATAGCAGTGGTTCCAGGTGTGGTACCCTTCCCTTATATTATCTCATTTAGATCTCATAACAACCCTGAAGCTGGTACACTTGTTACCACCAGTGTCCAGCGAAGGGAACAGGCTCTCTTAGTCAAAGAAGGTGGTTCAGTAACTTAAACCCACTAAGTGCCTGAGGCCAGAGCTTTCAGTCTGAGCCAGGTTTCCTAACCACCATGCTCTCTAGTCCCTTCCCCAAACCCTTTATGTTAAAATTTAACGTTAAGCATTTCCACTACTTTTTTTCAGTGCTTCCCTGGGAGCTTGTTTTTATCTGTTCTCACTTCTTATACACACATACTCACAGAGCAAATTCTAGAAAATCTAAAACATTATTATTAGCTAGGACCCTTTCTCCTGCAGGATAACAGGATTTTTTCCTTAGCAGTAGAGTTGAAAGTCACAGTTATTGCCCAAGAGGTTGCTTCTCTCTGAAAAGGCATGAAGATAGCAGTTCTAAAAAGGAGGGAACTGTTTAGACGGTGAAGAGTAATTGGTTTTGATGAAGCCTACTTGATCTAATAAGCAACAAGAGAGCCTCTGGAGAAAACATATCTGAGGATTTCTAGATCACTTACCATCCATGCAATGAGGAGGAGTGGGAGCCATTGAACTTGTTTCTAAAAACAGGTGGAGAGCGGACATCGTACATGTTGGAGCTCTTTGGATGTCAGTGGACCTTTTCATGTTGTGTCCTACACTGGAGTCACCAAATAGAACACACCATTCATTCTGTGTCACCTGCTTCAAACTGCCTGCTCAGCTCCAGCCAGCAGCCTGCATCTACAGTCTTTGGCAGAGACAGGAATGGAACCAGCCCCAAGCCCCATCTTTAGTAAAGCTGTAAGCACCTTTCCTGTTTTTAAAAACAAGGCACTAGAGGAAATGAACTAGAAACATGGGCACCAGCTCACTCTCTTTGGACATAATAGCATGCTACGAAATATATTAGCTTTAGGAACTGTAGCCTTAACACAAATAGATATTTTTGTGCATACCTATGGTTATTAAGACAAAAAGATATATACAGTATGTTTAGGAGGATTCCTAGGGGAATAAGGTAGATAAGATAGAGCATAGATACCTAGGTAGTTAATTCCTTTGCTGATTTTCTCTAATCTGTGTTTGCTCAATTAGCTGAAAGATACAGATCTAGAAAATAACAAAATTCACTTTACTGATGAGGGGAGACCAATAATCAGAATCTTAAAGGTTCTCCCATTTCTCAAAAGTGGAGACTCAGCAGTGTGTTCTAGTTTTCTGTAGGCCGATGCTCAGATTGTTGCCATAATCTCTGTGTGCTGATGGCCTGGATGGACAAGAGGTTAAAGTAGGTGATGTTTCAGATTCAGCTAGGGAAGCAGTGCCAGCAGGGAATAAGCAGGGACTGAGCACACTGGCCTTGGGTTGGCAGACCCCTGCATATAGTCAAGAATCACTTTTATTTCACTATCGATTCTTCTATAAGTATTTGAGTGTTGGCTGAGATGCAGTGTGGCAAAGCAAAGGCTTTGGAATCTGGCTTTGCTGTTTAACTGGTTGTGTTACCTTGGGCAACTAATCTCTGATCCTCAGTGTCTTCATCTGTTAATTAATAGTATCTACCTCAGAATGGTTTTGAGAATTCTAATGCAATTAACACACACAGCACAAAGTGCTAAGGGTTCTATACATAAGTACTTACACGTACTATACACTTAGCCTTTTAATAACCCAATGAGGTAGGTACTATTATCACCCTCATTTTGTAGTTAAGGAAATTGGGAAACAGAAGTTAAGTAACTTGTCCAAGGTCACACAGGTAGTAAATGATGAGCCAGGAGTCTGAGTCTAGGTGGCCTCCAGAGTCCTTGCTCGCTTGCTTGCTCACTCGCTCGCTCGCTCACCATGCCACACTGTGAGATATACGTAGCTCAGGACTGCTCTCAGGGAGTGCCCAGTCTTTAGAGACTGGCCCTTCTATTGACATTGCTGCTGCCATCTGTCTGCTTCCTGTCCTTGGACATTAGTCTGAGTGTTAAATCTGGAGAACAGGACAGTGTTGTGAAGCTAGTTTAGTGCAAATGGACAATGAAGGTGAAGGTTCTGGCTTAGGAGATCATGCTTAAGCATCAACTCCTACAAATGCATTGGGAGTGCCCAGTGTGGTAGGTTGAGAAAGATTCTGAGGCCCAAGTTCAGATAGAGTTGGAAGGAGTGGCTTAATTACCTTTGTCTTCCATGGGCAAGGGAACCCATTTATTTGCCATCCTTGCTTTAATTTGAGCCTTTATTTTGAAAATGAAAACAACTGAGGCCCAGAGATACGAAATGACTTGCTCAAGGTCATGTTGTCAGGTACAGGCAGTGCATGGCTAGAACACGGTTGGGGCCATTGTTTGAGTCCCGACTTGAATTAGACCCTGTGCTGAAAAGTGTAGTGGACAGCTCACTTTGTAACTGCTTTATAACTTGTCCTCTGTTCTTGGTTCGTCTTTGCCTCTGTCTGTGCCTGCAGTGCAGGTGATCGGGGTCATGAGTTCATAATCCTGGTTCTGCCACCGGTTAACCTTGGGACAGTTACTTAACATCTGTGTGCTTCAGTGGTAAGGTAACAGTCAGCCCGGTGTGCCTGGTTTTAGCACCGAAAGTCTTGCCTCCTGGGATCCCCCCAGAGCCAGGCAAACTGGGACAGTTGGTTACCCTACTCAGCTTCTTCCTCTATAAAATGGGGTTGAGAGTTGCCCCTTTTCCATAGAATTGCTTTGAAGATTTAACTGATTTATTACGGATAAAACACGTAGAAGAAGTGTTTGGAACGTAGCACGTCCTCAGTACATGTTAGTCATTTTTTGTTTTTGTTTTCGTTATTATTGGAGTAAAAGGGCCCCCTCCCCACCATGGAGAGCCTCACTCTCATCCCAAGCAGGACAGGGGACCCTGCCACGATCTTCTGATCACCTGTAGCCTGGGGTGGGGATGTTTTTTCTTCTACTAGAGATAATGATGAGATGAGATGCTGTCGTCATTGCATTCTATTCAGATAACATTTATTGAGCACCTATTGCGTGTTAGGTAGTGTTCTGGGATCTTTTCGGGGATTCAGAGATAAATAAAAGCATGTTTCCTTCCCTCTGGGGCTATGGGAATGGGCAGTCATGGTTATCAGTAATAATTGTTGTTCAGTGTCACAGAATCTACGCTCGAGGCGCGGAGGAAATGGGACCATAATGGGGGTGATTGAGAAAGTAATAGCAACTGACATTTATGGAGCAGATGGTTAAACACTGCATGTGCATAATCTTATTTATTATTGTAACCTTGGAGGTTGTGATTACATATCTGCATTTTA